GTATGCTGTCCCCCAACGCTTGATTCCGGAAGACAGAAGGTATAAAAAAACCCTGCCACCGTTCTTCAGGGTGGGCATTTTTAACTCTTGCTTGGGAGAAGCTGTCCGTCGGGCTACTATTTCTTTATCTGATATATCAAATGAACGAAAGCCTTTTTGAATTATCTCTTGAGCCAAGATTTATTGGCAATTAATTTTGGTTTGGAAAATTTAGGGGCCAGCCCGGACTTTCCAAACCAAAATTAATTGCCAATAAATCTTGGCTCGAGAGAGAATTCAAAAAGGCTTTCGTTTCCCTGTCCCCAGGAGCAAAGCTGTCACCTGTAGTGGCCTTCAGAAATGGGGGTTGACCTTGTAAGTGAGCCACAGAGAGCCCCATGAGGCCTCATGATGGGAACAAGTACTTGGCCGTGCTAGAGGAAGATGATGGAAGACATCATCTGGCACATAGTCACCTAAGAAGCTGCCTTATATGGGTTTATTTGTATAGTTCTCCAACTTTACCTCAGGAAACATTTTTTTGAAGGAGAGAAAAAGGCCATTACAGGTGTGGCTGTATTAATAAACTGAGACTGAGAGAAAGAAAATGCCGATTAAATTGTGTGAGGAAAAGGCTCCCGACAACACAAACTGTTAACCGGACCCCGTGTCTTTGCTGCTTTCCAAGCCATTGTGAGGTTTGCCGTCTGGTGGTAAGAATTTGCAGCGAGAGAGCTGCGACGCCCCATCCTCAGCTCTAGAGGAGAGAACTCTCCGGCACCTCATCCAACAGGGACCCTCGGATTGTGGGGGCTGCAGCCGTGAGAACCCAAGGGTTACCAACGGCTGGAAAAGACAGAGCTTGGGAGATTTACCTCTTGGACGGACAAACCTCGTATTTTCTCAGCCAACAGGGCCACTTCCCCATGTAGGCCAGGAGATTCCATGAGTTGTTGCCCAAATGTGAAAATTTTCCAAGGCAAAGGACCAACAGGATAATATACTCAGCACGTCATCAGAAGCAGTGCTCTCTTAAGAGATAAACCTTGCCTGTTTATTGTAGCAGACATTTTCTCCAGCTCTTCATGCTGAAAAGGATCTTGCTTTTGTTTTGTCAGTGGTCATCAGGAAGATGAACATGAACTACTTTTGCAAGTCTGATGGCTTGTGCAGAGCTTTGAAGGAATGACATCTTTGGAGGGAGAAGGTGCTCTCAGGTTTTAACTGCGAAGCTGGCATCTCATATACTTTTGCTCCAAGAATCTATATTCTCCCTGTTCCACTCGTGCTCCTACTACCATATCCAGCATAGCGCATTTCGTTTCTGACTTTCCTCTCCCATCCTATGCCGTCCTCAACCCCTGGAATCACTTACCTGAATCACAAAATTTTCTGTGAAATTACTCGTGTCGATGGAAAACTGAACTCCTCCTTGCCCATCCGTGGTGTAGCTCTTCTTGTGCTCATACCTGGGAATACTGATTTCAATGCTTGCGTTGGCGATTGGCTCCTTCATCCCATCCACCAGCTTCACCTAGAGGGGGAAAAAGCATTATAGCATTGAAAAAAAACAAAAAACGCCTGGTTTCCATAGCTCCCAACTGAGGAGTTACAGGTCATAGAGTTGTAACAAGTTACCTTCCCTGTCAATGAAAGCAGAGCAACATCATATTTCAAAAAATAATTCCATGAGTGGGGAAAATGAGAATTCACTGGAGGAACGATGTCATTTTGTTCTAAAATCTAATTTTTAAGGGCATTTTTCAAATAGATAGGAGTTTTTAAATAAAGTTTTCTGTCATTCTCTTATTAATCTTGACCGTCTTCTTGCTCCCCAAGAGAGAAAAGTAAAAAGCAACACGAGTGATTAACACAACAGAGGATTTGTTAAATACCGTGATGGGGAATGGGAACAAATTACTTTTGAAAAACAACTTTCCAGGACCTTCTTCTTTCATTTTGATCATGGATGGGCCCCTTCCGGCTCCATTATCCTATGATCCTAGGACCGTGGGTCCCAAAGCTTTTCAACTACTAGGTCCCTTGAATGACTGGCTACTGGCCGTGGCTCCCCCAATAGGAGGGAGAAGGAAGCCCAGTCTGAGTAGTAAGTGATCATTCTGCATCACCCCTGGCTGGGTTTGGCTACACCCCAGGGTGCCACAGCACATGGTTTGGGAACCACGGTTCTATGACATCACTGTCAAATAGTGAAGCTCCCAAAGGAATTCTACTGCCTGCCTGGATAACACTGAGGACAAGGGTGGTGGAGCAGGATCGGAGAAGGGGCCCCCTCCGCAAGGCCTGGGGTGGGCTGGGCTTGGGAGACCGAAAGGATCGAAACAGAACTTGGAAAAGTTCCCATTTGGGGACGACCAGCCTCTGGAGCATTCAGAGGATCTGACAAGATACCTAAAGTAAAAAGCAACAGGTCATCTTTTGTGACACAACGGGGGGGGGTGGGCAGGCCCTTTCCCTTCCGGAGCCTTCAGAGGATCTGACAAGATACCCAAGCTGTGGAGTTGTGCCGGACGGACAGTGGTTGATGATCCCCCAACCTTACCTGCCCCGTAAAGGGGATCCCTGGCTTGAAGTAACCGTCCACCTTTTCAAAGCTCAGCCTGCTGAGTGTCTGAGTAATATCGGTGGTCCCTGAGCCGGTTAATTCCACGCCTGTCGGAAAGAACCAGGAGGCAAACACAGATGGGTAAACACAGCGGGAATTTTAGTCCAGGAGCCTCCCCTTGCTAGCTTCTGTTTGGGCTCCAATGCCTTTTTTACCTGGGAGATCATTTGTTTACGAAGTCCTGGAGTTCCACCCGCTCTGATGGGCACCAGCGCTTGGGCAGGGGACCAAAAGCCATGATTTGCCCCACCCCTGGCTTGCTGATTTAGCCCGAAGTGGCAGCCCATTTCTAGGGTCTCTCGTCCACCAGAAAAATTCCTTATCCCTCCTTGGGGTGGGTAGTATCAGGGTCCTTGCTGGTCTTCGTTGACCCTTTGCAGGCTGTACCTTTTGCAGGTCAAGGAACTCTACCCAGCCACAAGAAGCGGTGATCACTGCACACAAAAGACCAGCTAACAACACCCATCAATCACAGTGACAGATAATCGCTCACCCTTATCACAACAATACGCCCACAACAAAAAACACGCTGATCACCATAATCTCCTGAAAAGGAAAAAAGCTGTTCCCACAGCTATAAATACTCAACTATCCAACAAACTGCAACAGAGCACAGACAGAGTTCTGACTCCTGTCCTCTGAAGATGCTGGCCACAGAGACTGGCGAAATGTTAGGAAGAAAAACCTTAAGAACACGGGCAAAGAACCTGAAAAACCCACAACAACCATTGGATCCTGGCCATTAAAGCCTTCGAGAATATGGTTGTTGTGGGTCTTTTGGGCTCTTGGGCGGTGTTCTGAAGGTTGTTCTTCCTGATGTTTCGCGAGTCTCTGTAGCCGGCATCTTCAGAGGACAGCAACCTGTGCCTTCGAGAATACATTGAAAACTTTGAGCTAACTTGATCTTGGGACTTCATCTTTCATAAAGTCATGATGACCCATTAGCTTTACAAAAGCCCTCCTCTCGGGGAATCACCCAACCTGTCTGCCTTTTTGGATTCTCCTTGAGGCTTTCACTAAGGAGGTTCCCATCATGGATGCCTGCACTTCAAAACAGACCCCTGCTCCAGAGGAGATGGTCTCGCCTTGGGAACGCAGCCCACTCCCAACTCCACCAGAATGTCTACCTGTGCCTTCTTCTTTGATCTTCCCTTCCACGTTGAGTTTCATGCTATATCCATCCCGTTTCAGCTGAAACGTCTTTGTTTTCACCAGCCGAGTGAGACAGCCGGTTTTTTTAAATGTAATAGGAATATGCAGGAAGAACACAAATAATGGATATTCGAATGGTTTAGAACAATGCCAGTACATTTCTAATTTTCCCTCCCTTAATCTTATGGACATGTGCAGTGGTGTCTTGAGCTTGCTTGCTCAGAAGCAAGCCCCACTGAGATAAACTAGCAGTGTGAAGGATGCAGAGTCAAACTGCACAGTAGATCGACGTGGCTCGTTATTTAATAATAATGTGCCATCACGTCAAAATGTATTTACGGCAACCCTTTTCAGGGTTTCCAGGTACAGTAGAGAAAATTTGGAAGTGGTTTACCCTCTAGGGGGAGCCCTGGGACTGTGCAGCTTTCCCAATGCCACCCAGGCTGGCTCAACTCATAGGAGATCCAGTGGGGAATTGAACTCTCCATCTCTGGCTCCACAGCCAGATGCCTAAACCACTGAGCTATAGAGCCAGGATTTACACATGACACTCTATTCACAAAAGCTCAACAGTATTTCAACTTTTTAGAGTGGGTTTGGAAAAGCTCTGCAAAACTCCAGAAACCAGTCCAAATAACGGTGTCACTGGGTGGAGGGGAATGACCTTTTCTGGGAAATACCAGACAGACGGATTGAGAGACCAGGAAGGCCGGATTCAGCCCCAGGGCTTAAGGTTCCAGGCCCCTGCTTTAGGAACTATACTGGATTTCTTATGCAGGTAACAGGTTTCTACAAGGCCTGGTTGTGAATGTGGACAAGGAAATACTCCAGTCTCTCTCGGGGCCCACCTCTCCACTGAATTCTTCACATGCAGCTGCTCCCTCTGCCCCATAGCATCGGGTTCCAGGGGAGGAATATCTTCGGCAAACGCTCATTTTCACCTGGCCAGGGACGGGCTTCCCGTAGGTGTACCTGTAATCAGAAGCAGCCATTGTGTACCTTTCGAGAGATGACAGAGACACAGGGGAAACCAAAGGGGCTGCCTCTCATTTATCTTCCGGGCAGACCCTCAAAATTGTTTATTTCCTAATATTTTGGAAATAAAGCTTGTTAGGAACAGGGAATGAAAGGGAGGAGATGTAGGGAAAAGGGGATGAGGGTGAAACTATGGTCTCAGAATGTAAAAAAAAAGAGAACAAATTATTTTGAAGGAGGACTGCTATAAAAGTGCAGGCTCAGCATATTTTGACCCAATAGGTATTTAGCCTTCTTCAAGGACTGTAGAACTACAATTAAAAATAAGAACAACCTATGCGAACCTATAAATATAAATATTTGTATATAGAATACATGATGAGTTGTTCTTATTTACAACATAAAGTGTTTTTCTTCTTTACAACCTGCACTCTGTGATAACGGAGAACAGATCCTGCCTCTCCTCTGGATGACTAGCTTTCAAATATTTGCAAATATTTTCTCAAGGCTAAACATGCCCAGTTCTGATCATCCTCATGGCCTTCATCGGAACTTGTTCCAGTTTGTAGTCATCCTTCTTAAAGGTATCCAAAACTGGATCCAGTACTCACGATGAGGCCCAGTTAGTACCAAACAGAGGGGAACTAGTACCTCACAGGACTTGGAGGCTGTACTTCTGTTAATGCAGTCCAAAATAGAATTTGCCTTTTTTGCAGCCACACCACACTTTTTGGCTCAGATTCAGCTTGACATCTATTGGCCAAGCTCATTGGTTCCAAACACAAAGAAGAAATCCAGACTATTGTTACTTACCGGCCACAGATGGTCACCTCTAACTGTTCGGTCAAAATGGTTATCACTTCGGGTGCCTTCACCGAAACCTCATATTTGGGCAATACTACCAGGAGGAATAAAATAGCCATTTTAGCAGCAAAGGACAAACTTCATGCCCAACTACCTTTAAGCCACTGGACAAAATCGTCTCCCCTCGCGTGCCAGCATAACACAGACGGTGTCACTTTTGGATGTGAATTGCTTCAAGTGAAGCAACGACTTTATCCACTGTGTCCTGAGTTGTGTCACTAAGGTGTCTCCGTGACAGATTCCCTCAGAGGGAGCACAAGAGAAAAAACAGATTCCTGCCTCCAGTTTACAGGTTGATGAATATATATCCAGCAATGGAATACATAACAACCCACATCAGAAACTGATCATGCTCAGTGTCACAAAGAAGAAACATCTGTTTTTTCCTTACCATATTCTTCCACATTAAAGGTATGTTCCACATTACTCCCGGAAGACTTCTTGACCACCACTCGGTAGGTGCCCAGGGCGGGCTCCGAAGTCAGAGGGAAGGAGAGCTGGATCAGGCCCACGTTCAGCTCCACGTCTTGCCACTGAAACAGGCGGTTCCTCTTGGGATCCTGGGAAGTCCCAAGAAAACGTGGTCACATAAGCCACATTAAAACCATAGATTGGATACACAGTGACTGCAAGTGGCCCTCAGTCAGAAATGTGGACCCTTTGGCCACTCTGAACAACAGCGGCCACTGTGGACAATGGCAGGCCAACCCATCTAGAAGGCCAAAAATGCTCCACTCCTGCTTTAATGAATGTTTGTGGCTCTATTTCAGTGGTTCCCAACCTTGGGTCCCCAGATGTTCTTGGACTACAATTCCCAGAAATTCTAGCCAGCACAGCTAGTGAAGAAGGCTTCTGAGAGTTTTAGTCCAAGAACATCTGAGGGTACCCAAGGTTCTGAACCATTGCTCTGGTTTAGGGTCAGAAGAGAGAGGTGGGATGAAGAAGGAGCTTGGACTTGCACTAAGAGATGCGAAGGTGGAGGGCAGAGTCCCTTAAGGATGGATGAGTGATGTGTAAAGAACCTTTGGATGATCTTGTATAGAGGACAACCCCCCGTTTTGACTATCAAGTATTCGAAGGGCCATCATGTCCAGTCCACATCTTACCTAAAAACAATGAACTCAAAGATGGGAGATCTACAGGGGACCTTGAAAGGTGCCTACGCATGGGGAGTAGCTCTCAAAGGGTGGACAGCAACTTCAGCAGGCACAACGTTCTCCTGGTTACGGTTTGCTCACCGAAAGTGAATTGTACTGGAGTCCTGTTTACACTGGGAACATCGTTTCTAAATTGGGGCATCTTGCACACGGGACGATCTAAAATTGCACATGATGAACAGTCATGTGCCATATCACGTACACAATTTCTGGATGCGAAATTTCTGTGTGTGAAGGCTGGACAGTTAAGACTGTCAAAACACTGGTTTGTTTCAAAATGTAGTGCTGGAGAAGAGCTTTGCAGAAGACCCTGTTCTGCCAGAAAGATGAACAAGGGAGTCCTAGATCAAATCAAGCCTGAACTATCTCTGGAGGTGAAAAATGTTGAAGCTGAGGCTGTCCTGCTTTGAGCACACCCTGAGAAAGCAGGATTCTCTGGAAAAGACAATAACGTTGGGAAAAGTGGAAGCAGCAGGAAAGGAGGAAGGGCCAAATATGAGATGGATTGACTCCCTAAAAGAAGTCACAGTCTTAAGTTTGAAAGAGCTCAGCAGCTTAGTTGAATACAGGGTTTTCTGGAAATCGCTCATTCATAAGACCACCATGTGTCGGAGGTGACTGATGGCACAGAACACCACCACCAATAGAATTATTACTCAACTCTTTTTTATAATGGTTATGTCAGAATTTGGAGAAGTTACTTCTTTTGGCTACAGGCCCCAGCCTGGTCCTGATGGCTGGGGGATTCTGGGAAGTGTCATTTTCATGCTGTATTATGCAATAGGATGATGAGGAGAGGAGGAGAACTAGCCACATACCTGAATATAAACCAAAGGAAACTGTGGAGACAAAAAGAGAGAGCAAGAAATCAGAGAATGTAATGTTTGCTAAGCAGCCTGAAAGCAGGTTTTACTTGCTTCTCTACCAGTTCCATTCATCAGTAGGACAGCCACCCCTGGGTGATAAGATTTCACATCATTTTTCTTTATTCCTGGTGTCTTTACCTGAACGGTCTGCCATAAATCACTAACGACCTCCATTTCCTAACAGCAATGCAGTAACACAGATAACCAGCCAAAATCATATTTAACCATATAATGTGCACACCCTATTTAAGTACTAGGGCACAGCTTCGTCGGTTACTTTTTGAAAGTGACAGTTATACTTCCAGCACCACAGTCACTGTTACACTCACCACTTTAAAAGTTACTCTTCCCCCCCCCCAGTTCCCAAAAAGAACTAGAATAGTTATATTTTTTTAAATAAAGCAGCAGAACGCCAGGAGCGGATTGCCTGAGTTTCCATTCACCTCATTATTTCCTCAACAGCTAAAATAGGACGACGGCACCAGAAGGCGCCATGAGAATCCTCACAGGAGCCACATGTAATAAGAACATGCCGCCTATAACTAAAAAAGTAACAAAAGTTACCACTACACTGCAGAAGCAGTGATGTTACCTGTCATTTTTGGTAGAACCGTAATGTCAAGGAGCTGCATTTACTTAGCAAAAAGGAATTTGTTCTAGGAATCCACTACAAAAGGAATTACTTGCAAGGATAAGTTGGAAGTAGCTAATTATTTGTAACTAGTTACTTCCAAACTCTGGTGACTGTCACTTTGCTCACTGAAACTGCATCCTCTCAGTACACTCCCTGTGCTACACGTACGCCTGAACTGAGAAACTTGCTGGAAGTTAGGCCTCATAATACCAAACATAGTGCAGAGGGTATGAACTGGCAGGTTGTTTAGTGAGAAAAGTCTGTTGGAATTATTTCAGCCTCATCTGTTGCTTTTAGTAAGTTTGGGCTGGAGGAACCTTTCTGGACTGGGGTGACTGTCAATTAATCCATCAGTAACCCATTGTTCCTTTCCCGACTCTGATGTCAAAGAGAGCCATGCCCCTCTGCTTAAATGTCTTTTTCCCTCTCTTTTAGTCTGCTGGCAGTTAGCAGTTAGTGTGTAATCTGAATGTAGTCTGCAAGAATCTGCTGGAAAAAGTCAGCAGTGAGCAGATTGAGGCCTGTTGCTCTAAGTAGTCATTTTATATACAGAATTGCTTTTTTAAAAATCTGTTCAGGGCTGTGAGTAAAGAAAGCCTTTTATTCTTTCTCTTACCATGTCTCAGAATGAGTTATTGAGACTGTAAGAGACAGTTGATGAGACTGGAAGTCTCTGGAGAGACTTGTAGCTAATTCTGCTGTTTAAGTCTCTGCATTTCTGTTGTGCAGGAAAAAGTTTTTTTTTAAAAAAAAACAAACAAACCCAAGAATCAAAAACTGCAACAAAGTCCTCCACACAGGCTAAAGACTGCATGTCTTGGGAGAAAAAACAGCTGAAGAGGTATTTGTGATAATGGTTCAAAAGAAGAGTATGTTGTGGGAACAAATCATACCTTCTCATTCAAGGGATGGAAGCCTTCGTCCAGAGCGACGATGCGAAACTGAACTGAGAAAGAAAAGAGAAAAATTTCTTAGCATGGATTTAGCGTGGTAAAATGTGGATTCATAGGATGGCTCAGCCTCAGGGTGCATAGTTTGCATGCCAATTCCTGCCCTTTATGGGGAGGTGGGGGAAGAATGCTCAAACGAACAGGCTTAAAAGGAGGGTAGCTCAAAATGCCAGATCCAGGGGAGGGGGATCAGAAGAGAGGTCTCCAGTTGTCTTGCATGCTCCCAGAGGCATCTGGTGGAACCACGGTGAGATCCAGGGAGCTGGACTCGATGGGCCCTTGGCCTGATCCAACCCAGGGCTCTTCTGAGGTTCTTATGTTCTTCGAGGTCAACAGGTGATATTCTAAGAGAGAGGCATGGCCCTGTGTGGCATTTTGTGAGGGTGTCATGGTAAACCGCCACAAAATGGCTGCTTTTTCTTATGGGGAAGCCAAACACAAATATTCATATCTGAATTACCTAAACTTAGGCTTTACTTCCTTCCTGTATCTTCTCCACTAAGTAGTGGTTCCTGTACTTGGAAGAGGCCATCATCTTGCTCTTTTGCTTGGGAAAGGCATCCTAAGTCAATGCTCTTCCAAACATAGCATTTGTGTGTCCCCCCCGCCTTTTTTTTCTGATGCTTGGTGCCAAAGAAGCACAAGACCTACCAAGATATGCAGCCAAGTATTTCTTTCAAACCCCACGACTCTTCTTTTTTAAAAAAAAAAAACTGTGCTTCTTTAAAACACCTTTAAGAAACCTTTTAAGAAGTCCAGTCCACTGCTGGAGCTTCTCTGTTGGAACAATTTTTAACCCTTCTTTTTCCACAGCATTGATTAAAACCAGTGGTTCTCTCTGCAAACATGAACGGCAAATGGGGAGGGCTAAATTTCCACCCTGGTACAAGCTGGGACTAAAAATAAACCACGCTGTCAGGAAGAACAAAAAAGAGTGAAGCACCGGGCAAAGCAAAACTTTGGAACTCCCTGCCACAGGGGGCCAGGCTGGCCTCCATCTCTGCTGTCTTTCTGCAAACAGACAAAGACCTTTCTCTTCAGGCAGGATTTCCCTGAGTGCCTGGCTGCCCAAGCGGGGTACTTAAATGGATTGTGCCTTACAACTTTGAAATGTTTTTTTGTTGTTGCTTTTGTTTAGCTTTATTAGTGTAGCCACTGTTTGATCCTTTTTACTCACGGATTTTAGCTTTACGTATAGTATTTTAATAATGTGAGCTGCCTTGGGTTCTTTTTAAGGGAAAAAGGTGAGGTAAAACATACTCTAAATAAATCAAATAAATAAATAAAATGAGGAGATACCAGGAAAAAAGACAGTACCATTGATGCAGAACCTGGAACTCTGAGGAGAACTTCAAGTTAATTGTCGTTCTTCTTTTATTTTGATGCTTTAGCCACAACAGCCACAAGACCATGACTTTTAATAGGAGCCATTTCAAGAGACTTTTGCTAATTCATGGAGTATATTGTTCCCTTTGCTTTATTTGTGGGTTCAGTATTTTGGAAAGAAAACTCTGGGCTGTAGTCTTTTATTTTGATGCTTTAGCCACAACAGCCACAAGACCACGACTATTAATAGGAGCCAGGCCAAGAGGCTTTTGCTAACTCATGGAGTATATTGTTCCCTTTGCTTTATTTGTGGGTTCAGTATTTTGGAAAGAAAACTCTGGGCTGTAGCGGCAGACTTTTACATGTTTGGACCACCACACAGAATCGCTGAGTTGGAAGGGTCACCAAGTCCAAACCTCCCGCTCAAGGCAGGAATCCAGATCAAAGCAGATCTGACGGAGGGTTATACAATTTTCTCTTGAATGCCTCCAGTGCTGGAGTGCTCAATACTTCCCCGAGGTCATTGGTTCCACTATCCTACTTCTCTAACAGTTAAGAGGTTTTTCCTGATATTCAGCCTAAATCTGGCTTCCTGTAGCTTGAGCTACATGTCCTGCACTCTGGTATGATTGAGAACAGATTCTTGATTCCCATCCAGATCTGAAACCAACTGTAGCTGAATAGCGGAGCACAGCATTTGAAGAACTCTAGGTTTGAAGTACAAATTCCATACACAGCATGTTTACGTTATTGATCTCAAATACCTCTATCCTTGACTTCTGTTGGATTACACAAGATCTAAGCCTAAACAAATATTTCACAGATGTACATTATCTAAAGTTAATTTAATGCAATGCAATATACCCACATGTAGGTTGAAGAGAACGTCAGCTGGGTTTCACAAGTGCCTGTTATGGCAGAAACCATATCTTATGGAAAAGTGACCACCTAGATTAAGGAATTAATTTATCCTAGATTAATTAATCTCTAGGAGAATTAACTGGGGGTAAACTCTCAGCATAGGCTTTAGGGTTCCCAGGTACTTTAGCCATAAAGCTGAGCTTTTGGGATTCATTCTCCCCCCCCCCCCCCCCA